ATATACTTTATGCATGGAGCACCATACAAAAGAGCTTTTTCATAATTTCTTCCATCAGCAGATCCGCGTTTATAATCGCTGTGGTGGTAAAAGCCCCTAAAAGACCTTGCCCTTTCGTACTCAAGGTTGCTAGGCTCTGAATGGAAAATTCTCGTGTGCTGTCTTTTTAAATGTCATCTCATTTATAAAGGCATGCTTCCTGGTTGTAGCAGTAGCAATTCAATTTTAATACCTGCAGCTATAGTGAGGCCATCGCCTGCGTCTGTAGTGTCGGAAGGCCTGGGAAGCGCCTATGTCTTGTTACACGTCCGCCTCTCTCTTTCCAGGGTAAATAGCTGACGGTTACAAAAAAAATGAACATCATGACATCGTGTTTATTGCTTCGTTTTGAAGGGAGGTGTGGAGGGGAAACTGCTGCGTCGCTTGAAGTAGCTGGCGCACGCTATCTCAAGGCATGATCAGACTGCTAGTTAACTTTCTGTGCTACTAACATCTGCTTTGTGTTTAGATACTGACGGCACGAAAGCTTCGGCAACTAGCGCTCATTAGCCTGTATTCTTCTAAGTTACATGATATTGGATCACAATTTGTTGACTTCACCTAATTAAGCTCTTAAGAGTGAGTGCGGTACCAACAAATTGTATTGTTACACCAAATAATAAGGCTTGACGTCATCTGTGAGAAGCGCTAAGGGGGGTTGCCATTTCCAAGGTACGCGCACTCGCAAGAACTTGCTGCACGCGTGGTGTTCAATATCTGCGACTTGGGTGACTAGAGACCCCCGAAACATCTCTTGCACGCCGATGCACATGCAGATGGAATCAGACTTGTCTAGTGTGCCCAGCTGGCTACTCCAGCTGGCATTTTCTTCAGAAATGTGTAAAGATAGACGGGGTAATGCTACCCAACATGGTCGTACTGCGTGTTAGGCCCTTGTGGTGTAATGCAAGCATCAATGGAACCTTGTAGCTAACGCGAGATAGAAGCCGCGGCTAACAACAGTGTCGAGAGGCACATGCTCTGCTGCTCTAGACCAGTGTGATTCCACTGCACAGCATGATTGGCACATACGAATGGACCTCCGAGACGGCGCGAAGATGATGTGGTTGCCTTGAAAGCGAAACACTTTTTGCACAGTCTGTTCGCGTTGAGAGTACAAGGTAGAAGGGTATACCAGTCGTAAATAGCGTGTATGCCAGCGATCACACCTCTAAAATCAAAGCTCAGACCCCCCCTCCCCCCTTTCGCGTTCCTTGCTCGATCCTTCCTGTCCCTTGGACACGGGCGGCGCGTTCCTCTCTGCTTGAGTAACAATCGATGTTAGGCCTGGAAGGGGGGTGATGTTATTGCATCTGCCCTCAGTGGAAAGGAGATAGGTCAGCTCTGCTTTAGCCGCTTTCATCGCCCCCGCTTGCACGTTTTTACCCGCGTCGCGTGTAAAAACTGTGTGTTGAGGAATGTTATCGATTGGGACATTACACAAAACATGACAGCCAGTGGCGTAGCCCGAGGGGGGGGGGGGGGGAACATGGAAGATATAGCGCACAATAGCGTTATGTTTGCGTGCCCCCACCAAATTTTTAAAGGACCTGTCTACCGTCCTTCGTTGCCATCTTGTTTTGTGTCACAATAAAGACCGTATCATGTGAAGTGTCTAACCTTGCAGCGGTTTCTCTGGAAAGTGCGTAGAAATTTTTAAATCAGAATTTTTCTGTCCCCATTATGTCTCTTTCCATCGGGGAGATAAAAGCCCACAACACTGAAAGTCGAAAATTGAAATGGGGTGTGGTTTTCAAAGGCTTCATCAAGTTTGGTTATTAATAAAACAAATATCTTAGTGGTTGTTTTAGGCACACACTTTTCTGTTGTTCTCATGAGTGGCGGCGGACGCCGTGGTCGTGTTTCTCTGCTGTTTGCAGGCAGACATGCAGACAAGCGAACACACTGCTGGCAGGGCCACTAGGCGCCTATTTGAGCACGTGAGGAAAATCAAAAGCAATAATTGGTCTCTGGCGCCGCCTAAAGCTGCCTCAAGTGCATGAAATACAGTTTCAAGTTAAACGTGTTTGTTTTTAAGCAAAATAAGTTCACCTGCGAGGATTTCTTGTCCTACCAATAGATTGTCAATATTGACCATATTCGCTGTTGGGCGACGCTAGTGGTCACTTTTTATTGACTTTTAACATCAAGTAAAAATTATAATTTCTTGTTTCTAGCCCGAAAGCATGCTCGTTGCCGCCGATGTGATGAAGGATCTTTCCATTTGCGCCACAATCGGACAAAATTTTTCCGAGTGGTAGACAGTCCCTTTAAAAATTTATGGCTACACTTCTGGCAATGGCGAAAACCAGTCGGCAATGTCCATATAATTGCTACCCCACTAAAAACAAAATGGATCTCGCCTTCGAGTTGTTTTAGGCGTTTGCGTAAGGTACCCTGTGAGATTTTTTTAATGCACTACTTTATAGAGGACTCAATGAGAGGTTTTTGGAGAATAGACAGAATGCCCAAGCAACATAAATTATTGCTGCAAAAAGAAAACGAAGTTTTTTAAATTTTGTAGTTTCAGCTCGGAGATGGGAGATGAGTAGCGAAGGAGATTGGCTTTCTGAGACTTGCTGAATGTCGTCACATTACGCCCAGCAGTCTAATCAGTCATGAAGAAAAAGAACCTTTTTTATTCTTGAAGTCAACTTAGGGAAAGGCACTTGGGACTCTGTAAGTCACTAGCATTGTACGTCACAGCGTTTGTCTACCATATCTGCTGATAACCACATAGGTATATTTATATTGTTATTTCATGATATACAGTTTTATTCAACCAGTATTTTGTTCATTTGCTACAAAAACATTCACTGAACAAGCTTTTCCAGGATGCTCAACAACATGATGCCATTATTTTTCCATCATCAACTGAAATAGGGAGTGCTTCTAAGATTATTGGTTCCATGAAATTTGCAATAAATCTAAATATTTTTAGTTCTTCACAAGAACATCAGAATAATTTTTCATGTCTTCTTTCATGTCTTCTTGTAGTGGCACTGACCACTAAAAGAAGGATTGTTCTTTCTGGTGTGCAACTTTCATCAAATTTAATGATATCTATCGTAAATAAAAACTCAATTTTAACATTAAAACTAGTTTTGCTCAAAACACAAATTTTGCCATTTTTTTCAATGTGCCCCTCCTTTTTCAGGCACTTCTAGTGCTCGGATCTGTATGAAATTTTGCCCAAATTTTTTCCAAAATATGAAAAATGCAATTACCTATTTTAAATTTTAATATTTTATTGTATAATAAAAATTGTATGTAAACCTTCACTAGGGTAGGTGAAATATGAACTTTTTACGTCTATTATTTTTCATGCCTATTACATATTTTGTATGTGCTTCCTAATTAGTTATTTGCATTTTACACTTTATTTGAAACATTATGAACTATAAATGATAAAAAATTATGACGTTTAGGGATAAAAAGAGGGGGGGGGAGGCAAAAGGATTAAGGTTTTCACTTTGTCATGTTGCAGAGCTAAAAGTATGCAACTTGCAAGAAAACTAAATATTTATCTAAAATCAGCATAAAAAGTTTCATATACAGCTCAAGTTTCATTGCTCTAGGGTGAATATTAAAAAAAAAGTCTTCGAGTAGCATCTCCCCTTAAGTGATTCGAAAAGACTAATATTTTCAGTGATGATGTGAAAATGTCTTAATTGTTATATTGGGCTTTTTTTGTTTTCGTTGTGATTGTTGCTATACAAACTTGCCTCCAAGTCTAATTCACCAACTATGTTTATTAGACGTGTTCTGTAAGAATACTTTTGTAGATGAAATAAGGTAGCGTTTGTGAAAGGAGTTCATTATTAATTGTATCCTTTGTGTGCGATTCATTGGGGCTAAGATATGCATCGGTCGCCCCCTTTTTGAGTGTGTTACGTGGAGCCTGGAGGGCACATGGAGTGGGTCTCACGTGTTGGGACAATGACTATGTGGTGTGGTGAATTCGAAAAACAATAGCCGCAGGACTATGCACGGTGCGTGGGCCCTGTTTCAAGCTAATGCGAACTTGCTGGCGCTGTGGATTTCATTCAGAGTGCATCGTAATTGTTGTGCATTGCGAGATTTTCTCTCGGAGGACCATTTAAGTAGTATTTATATGTATTCATATATTTGTATACATATATTTATACATATGTATTTATTCAGCAGAGCAACTAAAGTGTTGCTCTGCTGAACACATGAATAAGAAGGAGAAGTGAAAATAGTGCAGTAAAGGTTTGTCGATTTCACACCTGCTAGTTCGGAAAATCAGATAATTTGGGCACATTCTCTGTTTCTGACAAGCATATCTATTGTTTATGGGTGCCGACCCTCAATAATTCGTTCATATCTGGCTGCAAGGCAACCCAGTTAATTCATACAATTATCGTAGCATGAAGTGCCTCAATTGTGCAGCACAAAGGAAAAGAAAATGGCATTTGCAGACTACCAAAACGAGATGGTGCAGTTTGCATTGCGATTGTACAAACTGTAAAGTAACAGTGGTAACAACTTTTCTGATTAGTTTGCATTACTTAAGCTGGGAAGGTGTTTAACCATGGTCTTTTTGCAAACAAAGCCGTAAGTGGTGAAAAATATGGCTTTTCAATTGCATTTTTGCACAGTACAGAAATTAGGTATTCAAGAAAATGAGTGTCCTTACATAACAGACATTTTATTGTTTTGTTTACACTTTTGATAATTTGAAATTTGGTTCATTCAGACAGTTTTTTGAGGTCCTGTGAATTCCAAATTAACGGGCTTTTACTGTACATCAGGCAGGCACATTCCAAGCTTAGCTTTTCCCCATTTGCGTAATAGAGCAAAGGCTTCAGAATTTTTTTACTGGCAGATTTGATTCGCACCTGGAGGTGGGGTATATTATACGTACATCTGCTAATACTTCTGAGTGGCAATTTTTTTTGGAACAAGGCTTGAAATATTGATGTGTTCTACCCGTGCAGGAGCGATGCCCTCTACGAGGAACAGTCTCAGCAGGCTATAGAACTGTTTTTCTCACGCCACGAGATTGTTCCTTCACCGTGGGAGGCGCCGTCGAAGACTAAGAGTGCGTCTGCGGCGTCCAAAGGTACATGACAATAAAATATAAAAAATAGGCACAGCTGGGCAAGTTCGTGTAATATTGCTATTGGTAGGCAGCTTACAGTGATGTTCCAATGCATCATTTTTCTGAAATTCCTTGTATCTGTGCCTTGCTGCACGCAATCCAGTGCAGCTTGCTCGAACTGCTCCAAAGTTCATTAATCCACCACCTTTTTGCTCGGCATCGAACCTTCTATGACCCAAAGATATTCTTGGTCAGGCAACATAGGCTTTTGTAAAAAAGCATCACAAGCATTTGACAAGAACTTTGCCCAAGTGAAGACACAGCTGAACAAGTTAAAAGCTAAGGCGATATACTGTGCAAGGATCTGGGGCTTCACAAACTCTCAAAAGCAGTCAGTTCCTCAAAGTGAGCTGCGCCGTCTGTGTTTTTTACAGTGTAAAAACCTGTTGGGTCGACATGTCATTTACGTAGGTGTATTGGTAGTGAACGGGAAACGTAAGCACAAAATGTGAGCAAATTTTTATTAAAGCATACAAATGCACTTGTTGTGGATGATCCTATTCTTGTTACGAAGTATAGTAAAGTTACATAGTAGTTCTTAATAGGCCTAAACGACAGTGTCAATGCATTTTCTATATATGTTGAAGATTTATTTTACTCGGTTCCCCATGCAGAGTTGTTTTTAATCGTTAGAAACTGTGTAGAGTAGAATGGTGTTCTTGCCTTTGAGAGTGCCACTCAATGAGAGGGCCACAATTTTATGATGTTGCATGAGCTTTATCTGTGCTCGATGTTCGTGTGCCATGATAATCTTGTTTGCACTCAGAAAAAAGGGATCAGCGTAGGTTCATGTGTAGCATCTGTCCCGTGTAACATATTTTTAGCAGATTGTGACAGAGAAGTCGTCGATATTCAGGTTATTGACAATTAAAAAGTGAGCAACATTGCTTGTTGGGCGAATCGAACAAGCCAATCATAATGATGTGCAGTGCAAAAACCAGACAACAAGCGAGAAAATGAGGACACAGTGCATTCTTCCAACTAAAGTTTATTGTATTGGGACACACGTATATGTGCACAGGCAAAGCAAGAAAAGATAAAAACCAGGAAGGAAAAATCAAAAGGTGAAATTTAAAGTGCCGACAAGTCGCACACGAGCACTAACACTGCCTCTTTTCCATGACTCGCCAAAAACAAAACCTCTTTGTCAGAAAGGTGCGAGGAAAGCATGCTTACACATGCGTCCCAGTCCGTTTGATTTCTTCAGCCTCAATGATTCCCCTTACCCCTTGGTCCCAATTGTGTGCAAGGACCGTGGTTTTTTCAAAGGTAGGGCTACACTTGCAGTCCCGCACATGGATGTTAAGGAGCCCCAATACTGTAGTGTATAAACACTATAGTAGTGCTCATGAAGTCTGTCATTCAGACAGCGTCCCGCCCGACCCACAAACGAAAGTTCGTACCATGCATTCAAGATGTTGTGTACGTCATTCCTCTGACGTGTGGTAAAAAGTATGTGGACCCACATACATTCTACATGTCGACATTGTCAGGCCTGTGCCAATCTGTCAGGGCCAAATGTACTCGTTAACTTGTATGGATCGTTTCACTTGTTGGGCTGAGGCTACTGACCTTCCTGATATCACAGCTGGAACTGTTGCTTGTGCTTTCATTAGCTACTGGCTCTGTTGCTTAGGTGTGCCATAATCTATCACAACTGACATAGGAAACCAATTCGAGTCCACATTGTTCACCAGTCTGATGAAGCTAATCGGTACATGTGGATCAGAATGACGGCTGATGAGTATTGGAATGAATATCGATGAGTATCTATAGGCAGTTGAAAGCCGCACTTTTTGCAAGGGAAGGACACTCATGGGTCGAAGCACTGTTCATTGTACTCTTGAGGCATACGCACTGTGTTCAAGGTGGATGTCGGATGCAGTGCTGCAGAACTTGTCTATGACACAACCCTGCATCTTCCTGGCGAGGTCTTTGTGCTTGACCGACAACAAGGCCACATTCCTGCTGGGTACTAAGCATCGAGCCTATGTCACATTATGATAAAAGTTGGGCCTACGCTTCCACGGCAGGCCAGAGAAAGAACAACATATGTGAGCAGCGAACTCGAGTCGTGTAGCCACGTCTTTTTGCAGAACAATGCAGTAGAAAGACCACTACAAGCGCTGTACGATGGACCCTTCAAAGTTATTCGCCATGGGAAGAAGACGATTATCACCGATAGGCGCAGCCACCAAGAAGTTGTCACTGGGCCGAGTTAAGCCTGCGCACATGGAAGCCAGGCAGTCCGCGACAGCAATCTCTATCTATCCGCCTGAAACCTGCAGAACAGCGCCACATCCCACACCAACGGGAGTGACGGACACAGGAGTTCCCTAAGAGACTGAATTTCATCACACACGCAGTGGAAGACGGACAGGTGCACCATATTGCCTCGACCTGTAGCCAGTAACTGCCCTGCCGTTTCATTTCGTTCGTGCTGTCACTAAGGGGGAGTACTGTGGTGAACTCTAAGTGCGCCACAGTGCGGCAGGTGGCGCTGCCAGCATGTCGCAGGACGACATTCTTTTTCCTCTCTCTGCACTGTCAACATAGGCCCGCAGCATGAGAGGATAGGAGAGTCGATCCTCCAGTTGGTATTGAGGCTCTCAGCAACACGCTTCACCTCTCCGTCACTCGCACGTACCAACAAGTGCATGACAGAAGCACAGAAAAGCACCAGGTATCGCACTATTTGAGCTGTTCAAAAATGTGAGGCAGGTTCACCCATTACCAAGTTCTCAGCCACGATTAGCCAACATCATCAGCCACACCATCAGCAAAGTGTGCAGCTATCGGCTTACGATACATAGTGGGTGCTTGACTGCCATTAAGTGATGAATTGCGGTGCAGGTGGAATCTTCCCAACTGTACTTGCAGTAGGTGTCCTAGGAGAGTTTGCAGCATTCAGTGTCACTCGTCTGTGTGTTACTTTTTTTTTTTGGTGTCCGTCATTAAGCGAAGCGTGGCAAGCAAATGAGGCCTCAATCACACTATCATGTTTTACTCTTATACAGTCGAATCTCGATAATTCGAACTCGAAGGGTCTTGAAAATTTGTTCGAATTAAAAGAAGTTCGAATAAATGAAAGCTAAATAAACCGAGGGCTCCCCATGCAGTGGTGCATGTGCTTGGAGCTAACACACGAGGGGGAATGACGATAGCTATAGCGCGAGAACAAAACGACTATCGTCATGCCATACCAACTAGCCCAAGCTGCCACACGAGGGGGAAGTTTCAGAAGACATACATTTATTTACAAATCATGGCACATTCGTTATTATTTGAAGTATTGGGCGATGCGCGTCTGCACACGTTTGCCTTGCAGCAAGTCAATCAATTCCGCACGCAGCTTGCAAAGCGTTTCTACTTCGGCTTCAGCATTCTCCTGGCAAGAGAAGTTGCGTGTGGAAATGTCCAGCGCCGACACTCTCTAAAGACGATGACAATAACGACTGCGTAGTCTCTCCGCTACGCAGCCGCAGCATGGCCAGCACCTGACGAGAAAGAAGAAGCGGATTGGCATTTAAGAGAAAACGAACACTCCACGGCAGCTTTTTTTTTTTACTCTCTTTGCGCGCATCGTTGAAAGAAGAAAGGTTACGTGGCAGGGACGGGAAAGAAGGGGGAAGCGTGGCACGGGCGCGTGAGAGACTCCCCCTCCTCCCCTCAAGGCGCAAAGCCATGCTGCCCCAGGGGGCAAAGGCTGCAGAAGAAAGTGCGTTTATTCTTTCCTTCATACACACATTCATTCTACCCAGCGACAGCTTTTTCTTTTTCGTCCCTCTCTTCGCGCACGTCTTTACGTGGCAGGGACGGAAAAGGGAGAAGCGTGACACGAGCGCGTCGCAGGTCGGCATTTGAGAGAAAACAAACATTCCGCTGCAGCCTTTTCTTTCCTTTTCATTTCCTTCGTGCGTAGCGTTGAGGTGTCACAGGTGCCGCCGCAAGATCGGGCGGGGTGCTGAAAGCATTTTCGGAGCACTGTATGTTCGAATTACCTGTCGCAAGTGCTTGCACGTTCGAATTACCAGGCGTTTTCGCCCATTGGAATACAAATAGCTTTGAGGGGACCTCATTGTGAGTTCGAATTGACCGGAAGTTCGAATTAACCGTGTCCGAATTAATGAGATTGGACTGTATGTAAATTTGAAATGTCCTGCTTTTTTTCCCCCCCCAGGCCTTGGTTGTGGTGATCCCTCGCTCATGAAACAGTGCCCTCTCATGTCCTCAGGTACGTCTTCATTCTCAACATTTGAACATGCTTTACCCAACTTTTTCATTTTCTTCATCTTTCAATGAAAATTCTGCTTGCTATAATTGGAAAAAAATTATTGTTTACAATAAAGAAGCATTTTTTAAAATTTTTTATTTCAGTGGTTTACCGAAAGGTGTACTGAAAAAAACATATTTAATTGATGAACAAGTATAATATTGGCACATCGTATCTCAAGCATTGTTATCGCCCTGCTACACTACATTCAGCACAAACTGCGCCTACGATGTTTGAGAAGCTTCGAGGCTGTAGTAGATTGTTTTGTTAAGATTATGCCCACTTCGTGAACATTACATATTTTTTTGGAACCTACGTCGCTGCTAGCGATAACGCTAGAATATTTCGTGGCAAGTGTATAAATGCCAGCACGCCTCGCCGCTTGTCATTTGATCGACGGCTGACGCTCTGTTCGCCGCTATCAGTGCCAGTGTCCTGCTGTAATCTGACTTTCCTTTTGCGTGGCCACAGGTTCGGCCGAATAAATAGAATAATCTTCAAAGTACTGTCAGCTTCCCTTCGTCGATGTCACGACCCCGTGACAATATTTTTGTTGACACTGCTTCAGTACCCTAGTGTAGTTTGTAGAGTGCACTTATTCCAAAGCAACTTTCTGAATTTCCATCACTACTTTAGTAAAAGATGTACAGATGTTCTCAGAACTTATGCCACGTTAGTTCCTGGCTATTAGGATGTGCTTGTGTTTATGATTAATATCCTTAAAGGGGCCCTGCAATACTTTTTCAGCATCTTCTTGATAGGTTGCCAATCAGTATTCGAGGCACATGTGCTTCAAACATTATAGCACAACACGTGACCGGGAATTTACGATTCATTCTCGATCTGCTAGAAATATCTCCCTCCTCTTTTCACAAGCGATATCGTACATACGAAATGACCATGCACAATGTTCATGAAGGTTTGCTGATTTGAGCATCGTGAGTCGCAGTTATTGTAAGTAACTGCCGTAAAATGCTGCCGGGCACCTGTGCTTGGTTGCACACCAAAAATATGCTACTCATTTGAAGAAAAAGTCGCAGTTTTGCCGCAAGGGGGAAGCAATGAATGCGATAGCAACAGCTTGGAATGTAACGCTGAGAATGGCAAGCAGATCCAAACGTGCAGCGCGCTGCTCATGCACAAAGAATGCACAAAAATATGTGCAAGATGAGAGTGAACAAAGTTGACCGCTTGACAATTAACGCTCTGTTTAAACAAAAACGTTGCACGGAAGATAATCACAAGTACAGATGAGTCAAACTAACAAGTGTCCCGGTTGTTATACTTCATTGTGTATGAAAAGCAAACTGGGCCTGTGTAGCGAGCAAAGTGACCTTTGTGAGCTCGGCAACTAACGTAATCGTTCTGGTGAAAGCCGAAGGCACATTCTCCCCACAGAAGAATAAGCACGCGCGCACAAGCGTCTAACCCCCCACGTCATTCGCGGTGCCAAGTAGATGTGGAAGCTGGGCGCTGAGCGCGAGCGTCTTTTTTTAAAATGTTTCCTGAGTTTTATATATATATATATATATATATATATATATATATATGTGTGTGTGTATGTATATGTATATGTATATATATGTGTATGTATATGTATATATATGTGTATGTATATGTATATATATGTATGTATATATATATATATATATAAAGATACCTATACATATACGGTGATGGCGGCAGCAGTGGCGAAAAACCAGCCAAGACCGTCCATATGATTGCTATGGCAATACAAAAGAAAAAAAAAAAGTGGTCAACGTCAAAACACACACAGATTAAGGGGCAAGTGGTCAACGTCAAAACACACACAGATTAAGGGGCAAGAGGTTCGTTCTTAGAAGTAAAATATAGTGTCAGTCTTTTGTTTTCGCTGTTTTTTCACACTGCTTCAGCATCCTGGTGTGATTCGTGGCGTGTTATTACAAAGCAACTTCCTGCATTTCTGTCACTACTTTGTTAAGATGTGCAGATGCTCTCGAAACTTATGCCACGCTCAGTTTGTGGGGTCTAAAAATGAAGCAACACTCTCGGTATGAACAAACACAGTTGATGCGTTCGAATCAAACCAATTAAAAACATTTATTGAACTCTTCCTTACGTCAACAATGCGAACAGCCAAATCAAATACGTCACTAGTGACACGCTAAAACACAACCGTATGCAATATTCCGATACACTCAATCAACATAACAGTAAACAAGGTAATGCGAATGCAGCATCGCCAATGCTCGACTCACTACAAGGGCCCACAGGCGGCGACCCGCGGTGCCACCACCATGGGCGGACCGCTCGCGCCAACCATTGCGCGCCTTAAAAGACTCCAAGCTTTTCTGTGCGGCCACATAACCTCGCCACAAAGCATCACTGCTGGCGCTGCCGCGCTAACTGTGCTGATGATGGGGAAGATCATGTGCGAGCGCTGTGCCACAACCGCTCAGTTGCTTTCAACTCCAACTGCGGCCTATTCGCAGGACATGTGTGTGCCATGAGGTGCAAGCAACCTTACAGGGGGTGATAGCGCCCCCACAAGTTCCTAGCTTTGTTAGGATCTGCTTGCGCTTAATCATTAGGGTCCTTAAAGAGGGCCTGCAACACTTTTGCAGCACCCGCAAGTATGAAAGGAGGAAGGAAGCGCTTGAAATGTGCAACCATTCTCTGTCACTCCATTCTTTGCAGGTTATAAAATTTTTTGCAGCAATCGGTTAGTAAGGCAAGAAACTCCTTTAATGAAGCCCTTTGACAATTACTTGGAAAAGTGCTGCAGGGCCTCTTCAAAGGTGCCCTCCGACACTTTTCAATGCCACATTTTTATTTAGGGGTTGTGTAGACTGACGTACAGACACACTAATGCAGCAAGAACGGCAGTGATAACGGCACGCTGTCCAAGGTTGTTCAATTTAGAAAATGCAAAATACAGTAAAAAAATGCCTACCTTCAACTTGATTTTCCTAAGGTCATCTTACCACATTTTACTCACCCAATGACGTCGGATGGCTCCCCCAACGAAAAGAGCGGGGAGAGTATACGTAGGGAAAGCTTGCACACCATTGTTCCTTTTTATTTCCAATGTAATCTTGACCTCCTTGCCAATGTAACAAACAATATGGGGCTTCACGCTTGACTTGCCAGAACGTGAGTGGGCGCAGGTGTTTGAAGCGAGGTATTTTCTGCTGTTCTTTGCAACATTCCAAATCACTCCCTCCTCTTATTCTGAAAAAGGAACTTGTGAAACGACCGAGGCGGTCAGATATTGTTGACCCTAACATTGACAGAACCTGTTTAGTTTGAAGACTCGTCTGTCTTTCATGGCGCCGCTGCAAGCAGTGGCTGGCAGTCGCCCTGTTGTTGCAACAGGCTTCAGGCAGCCCACCGGTTTGTGTGTGGGTTTTGCTGCGGTTGTGCTGTGTCCGAGTGTTGCAGTTTGCAAACTGAAAAGATTTTGCCTGCTGTTGTGTTCTAAGTAGCGTGAATGTTTGTTCATCTGCAATGCCGACTAGTGTGCTTGTATGCACACAAGTGGCCGAGACACTTCTGGGCTTTGTGTGATGAGGCTTTCCATGCTGCGTGGTATCGCACTATTCCCCGTTTTGACAAAGTGCTGTTGAGTAAGTCACGAGTTTGTGATGTGCATTTGCCGAGGACACCTTGAAAACCTACAGTCACGTTGTCGATGGGAGGGAGAAATGTCGGAAGCACCAACGGTAGTGAGGTGCAGTTTTATGTGCAGGAAAGTGTGCCTAAATTTTTTCTAACCTCTTGGAATATCTTCAATCCTCAAAAAAGATCCATGTTCAAGAAAGATTGGTCGAAGAAAAATGTTTGAAGTGTGTTACATCGCCACGAGAGCCTGAAAACTGTGTGGATATGTCAAGCGGTGCACTCACTTGGACAATAAAAGTATTCTTTTGCAGTTTGCGAGTTGGCGCAGCATTGACAGTGCTGATAAAAATCGTTGTATTGTGGCCTTTTGTGCAATAAAGGCTGAAGAGTGTGCACTAGTCATTGAAACTGCGTCATTGTCGCGGAAGATATGCCATTTAGTGTTAGAGCTGTGCACTGCTGCTGGCCATTTTTGGTCACGCTGTTTGTGCCACCGCTAAGTTAGGAAAGATACCATGCTGCCACCACCGCTGCGCAACGATTGCGATGCACTGCCGTTAGTCTTATTTTAACCCGAGTGGGAACATAGGCATGAAATACATCACTTCACCTTCTTTTCCGCAGCTTCAAGGTTTTTCAGAGCGGCGTTTGCGGTGTCTTGACTGCTACTGTCTTGTATCTGCGTTTGCATCCCTGTCGTGTAAGTGCCTTAAAACAGCTTCTGACAATACACAATGGAGCGCGTCTCCCCCGTTGGCGTTTCTCGTTGACATTTTTGCGCTCTTTGTGATACCAGAATGTTGATTCACATGACATGATTAGGGCAAATACTGTGGAATATATATATATATATATATATATATATATATATATATATATATATATATATATATATATATATATATATATATATACATATATATATATATATATATATATATATATATATATATATATACATATATATATATATATATATATAGTCAAGTAGATTTTCCATGAGCGGTCACAACGTCGTTTATTTCGACGTTTCGGCCTAGAGTCTGGCCTTCATCTGGATTGAGGGTACAGTTTGTTGGTGCTCAGCTTTATACAATCTTGAATCAGAGGGGGAGAGAGAGAGAAAGAGAAAAAAAAACGAAAGAAAAGAAGAAGAAAACAGAAAAAAGAAGAAAAAGGACAAAAAAAGAAAAAAAAAAATGAGAATATAAGGTGGACTCCCCCAGGCGCCCCCTTTCACTCTTCCTTCTCCTACTCCTTTCATCTCTCTCTCCTTTCTCCTTTACACCTTTAGGATGTCTGCGGTCAGTCTATTCTTCCTTTTACTAACGCATTGTCCCCGACCAGACGGCGCTTCC